AAAACTAGATGGTAGACCCAAAGAGACTTTCCTTAGGCAAAATAAAACATTTCATAGTTAAATTTCTTGAGAGGGGCTGATGGGTTAGCCTTGTAATTCTAGATACATTACCATTACATGTTATCCGGAGCTCAGCTCCCAGTGCAGCTGAGGTTCATGCCACACATAACTAACCACATTTGTTTTGCTGCCAGGGGACCTCCCTTGCTGCAGAGATGGGGAATGGCTTTATCCTACAAAAGAGAGCCCATTGAACTCTGCAAGGAGTCAGTGTTGTGAGACCATGACCTTCCATACAAAATACTTAGAGGGCAACTGAGACGTAGCAGTGTCTGGAGAGGGAAAGAGTCTTCATCTGAGAATTGGGAAATAAAGGCAGACAAATCATTTAAATTTAAAAATACTGCAAATGTGCTTGTTAAATAGACAGTGAATGTGTGACACTCATTTAGAGCACAGAACAGAGTATTTTAGCTTTAGCATTAATGATTTGAACTACCAAACAGGCAAGATTTTCCTTACAGAAGCATCTGAGACAAAAGCTGGTTGTAAATAATTGGCTAAAGCAGCTCTACTTTCCTCTTTGCTTTGCTTCCTAAAGTTGCCAATTATTTCAAATTATGTATATAAATTTTGTCATGTGGACTGTTATGTCCATTGGGAGATGTGCTCAGACTTTTAAACTCATTTCATCTGGCCCTTTTACTTTGGTCTGAGCCCAAAAGTGTTTTATAGGCCTCGTCTGTAGAGGTAATGGGTGTCTCTGGATCAGGTCACGCAGGCCGCATTACACCAGACGCAAGTCAGTCACTTAGAAGTGTACAGAACAGACTTGGAGTCTCCAAGGTGCAACAGCTGTATTTCAGTCTCTAACCCTACAGAGTGATTAAAACAAGGTTTAAATCAGCCTATGTCACCATTCAGGGCAGGTTCCTCCGTTCAGCAAAGCCTGAATGTGCACTTCATCAGGAAAGATCCTCCTGGACCTCACAGGGCATTAAACTGCTTGGTGGCTGTGGTTTCCAGTCTGGGGTACACGGGTGCTCAGGGATCTGTGGATTCCTCTGAAGGCTCTGCAGTGGGAATGAGGAAAAGCTTATTTTCAGTGCGCTTATATTTGTTAAGCAGGTGTCCACACCTCCACCAAAAGCTTTCTTAGAAATCCACAGATAAAAAAAAAGTTTGATTTAAGACTTTGCTTTCATATATAACAATTTGATACTAATACTTTGCCGTTCCTTATTAACAGATTTTTTTTTCAGCAAGTTCAGAAATTGCTTTCAAAGCACATTTCCAATTCTCACTAAGTAGCCCTCACCTGCTAGCAACTCATTGGAGGTATTTTGAAATGTTTAAAAATGTATGGAAACCCAATCCTGTCTGGCATTGCCTCATAGAAATCAAATTCTGAACAACAACAAAATCTTCGTCTAAGGAGGATGTGGAAGCAAAGAAACAAGCCAGTGGGCAATAAGGACACCGAGAAGGAAGCAGCAGATTATCTGACAAAATACAAGACCAAGGAAAGAGAAAAAGGGGGAGGAAAGGGAGGACAAAAGAGAAACAAATCTAGAAATCAGCCTGTAAGAGTAGAAAGCAATGCTGAATTTCACTGCACCATCTCCTTTGGCCTGGAAGACAGCAGGGTCACAGGCTACAAGCTTTGCAGGGATGTGGTGCCAGGGATGTGGTGGCTGTGAGGTGGCAGCTGGCAGATGGCACCCCCTGGTCCCCGGGCAGCTCTGCTGGAGCCCTGCAGCTGCATGGCTCCTGGGGCAGGGGCCGGTCTCTCCTTCAAAGTGCCAACCACATTACTGTCAGCCTATAAATTACTAGTAACAGCAAAACCAACAGATAAACACAAACAAAAAATGTGGCTGTATTTAAAGCAGGCAAGTACCCTGCTCAGAAAAGGGTCCTAAATGCCTCAGGAATCCAAGAATCTGAAACATTACCTTTTAGCACAAACTGTCTTAGAAGGGTGCACGGAAGTTGCATTTGTCACCATGTGTGAACTGCACATTTACCAGCATCTGAGGATGCAGCGCCCTCGAAGGATGGAGCAGTCAAAGATGGAGGAAACTTGGCAAAGCTTCATTTTACAAGTAGAATAGCAGAATGGGTGTGCTCATTTCAACCAAACAAGGCTGTCTGCAGCTGGCAAATAATTCAATTGAAAAGCTCCCCAAAAATGGTCTCTGAGACATCAGGGAGGGAGACAACCATGGAAAGAAACAAAACACAGACAGTCAGGCTGGGGCTATGGTCATCTGAAGAAACCCACAGAAGGAAAACCTCTTTCGGGAGAAGGGTTCTGGCTTATCAAGCGCAGAATCAATGACAAAGAAACAGTAATTAGCATGATTTTAAATATTCCTCTAAAATACGCTATAAATCGTTTTGCCCTTGGGAGAGCCAGAACAAAAGACAAGCATAAAACTGCAGGCAAAATGCAAAAGGCTCCATCTCGCTGTGCAGGCAGATGGAGTTATTTAGTAAATCCTCTACAGTCTTCTCTGGGCTATAAGGAAAGGAGAAAGAAAAGCTGCCCAAAGTTCCAGTCAATATTTACCTCTTGGGTTAATAAATTGTGATCCTGACCTCAGCAAAAGTCAATATCTTCTGATTATTATACGCAGGCACCTTTTTATTTGTCCTCACTCATTGTATAATGAGTCACCCGTTTCCACTGGCAACTTCACTTTAATTTTGAATGTCTGAATTGAACAATCATTTATGCTCCAAAGGCATAAGACAAAATTACTATAAACTAGAGCTGTAAAATGTGGACTTAGGTTTCTATTTCCAGTGAATAAGCAAGCTTGGGCGGGGGACAGAAGGGATCAAGGATTAAGCACAAAAAAATAGCCATCTTAAATCCTCTTTTAAATACCTCTGAGTGACAAGGAGCAGAAAGAGGAAAGCCCTGAACTGTGCTATTAAATACAATAAGACTGCACGTGTGGGAGGAAAGAAAAGACAACCTGGCCTGACTAGTGAACTTGTTTTAATGGAACATAATTTTTCTTTCTCCCCAAAATAACAAAGAGCAATGCCAGAAAATAAATGCCAAGGACAAGAAGTATAGATTCACACACTTGCAAGCCAATCCACAAATGCAGATTTGAATGAAAATCACCCCACACTTGCTGCTTCATTAGAGGTGGGCTGGGCCACAGCTAGAGGGAGAAAATTTGGGGTGTTATAGTCATAATTATGTAATGTTTTATATAATACCACAGGTGTGCAGTGTGCTCTACCAAAAGAAAATCAAAGCACAGCCTCCCCCAGCAAGATCAAGAACCAGCTAGAATCACAATTTTGCTCTTCAACTTCTCGTTTTTCGAACATCCCCCACTGACTATAATAAAAACGTCCTTTGGGCTTACAAGCCTTGTGATGCTGGAAAGATTTTTCACCCACACAACCCACTATGCCCATCTCTTTTTAAGAAAAGTTATTTTACCAGTTTAAGTTTGTCTGGCTTGACATTATTCTACTATTAATCCCACTCTGGCAAGCAGCAGTGAGAGCAGCACATCTCTAGCTTAAGCACAGTAATTTTTGAACTGTGGAAGATCAGGAAGAGCAAATTGTGATCAAATCATGATCTGCTGTCTTTGTGAACACAAATAAACCCCATATAAGTCATCCTAGAGTACTTCCAAATGCCACATTAGCTATCCGCACGGTGCTGCTCTGAAACCATATGACCTTTTACTGTAAATAAAGAATAGTTCATTAGGACCAAAATAGGCAATATTGTAGTCATGGGAAAATGAGTGCAGAAACACTATCTTCAAACTAGAAAGAAGCTGTCATTTTCAGATGGGACATTCAGCCCAGTGTTAAGTAGTTCAAGAAATATTTTTGTATTATCTGTTAATACTGTGCTTAAATTCTATATTACTCAAAAAGGTATGTCTCATTCAGAAGCAGAGTTGGGCTGCCTGAGCTTCAGAAAAAGGATGTCATCATAAATAGATTTTCCCTTCTATTTCACAAATACAACTTGCGTTTACTTTCTATAAGCACATTTTAAATGGAGACTAGCAGACAAAGTCATTTAGGCAGCTCATACACCAAAAATAAGGTGATTTTCTAAAATAAAAATACATTAAAACAGAATTTGAAAAAATCACCACCACCACCACGAAGTCAGAACCCAGAACCAGACAACGCTGAAGCTTGATGGATTAAAAGTTCATTTGATACCCTCAGACCTGCTCCTACTAAATTTGGATGTTTTTCACCATTAACATAGTTGAGATCCTTTATTTCCGTCTAATGACCTGTATCAGCAACTGCCACCATTACATCCGTACCAACAACTAGACATGCTAATTCATGTGCCATTAAACAGCATGCATATCCATAGAGGAAGGCTGGAAACTGTCTTGTGAGAAGAAATTAATGAAGTTTCAGTAAGTTTTAATAAATCTGTGGGCACTTTGTAGCTATAGAAGACTTTCATCAACAGCCTTTAAAATATCTTGGAAATGGCAACCGATATAAACTCAACAGAGTCAACAGACACAAACTGCAATAAGGTGGGCAAAACATGGAAGAATTTTGTGGTTTCAGAAAGCCTGGCATGCTCCCAGGGAGGTTGCTTATTTTGGAAAAGAAGTTATACCTCTGCATATTTTAGCAGACAATCTTGAAGTACCTTATCTTGAAGAATCAGACATAGTGGGATATTCCATTAATCTGGTTGACTACAGCTGGAGCCCAAGACACTCAAAGCCAACTTCTTCATAGCAACCTTCCCTGGCCAAACTCAAATAGAGTAATTTATATATTTACTGTGAAATAAGGAAATGTGTCTGCCTGTCCATATTGGGTAAAAGTACAAGCTGAGCTTCTCATTTATGTTTGGGAGGAAGGCCACGGACGAGTCTGTCAACACCAGCATCCCCAGCCAGATGCACTTTTGATACACTGTAAGTACCAATGATCATTCTATATTAAAAAAAAAAAAAAAAAAAAAAGCAGCAATGGTATTTTTCATGAAATTTTTTTCCGTGTTTTCACTCTTTCCTATTTCAAGGACAAAAGTCAAGGACCTAAAAAAGGTCCTAAAAGGACCTAAAAGACCAGTCAGCTTTTTGGATAGCTGAGGCCTTCAGGTCACATTTTATTCAGAGAAAAGGATTTATGTGTATGCATGTTTTCTAAAGGGCAAAATGGGGGATGAAACAATCGCCCTTCCCTCCCATACATTTCCAGAACAGAACATCCATAAATAGAGAGGAGAAATGTTATTCAATTCAGAATAAGCCATTTAATGCAGTGTATTTGGAAATACTGCTCTTGCAGTAGACACAATTCCAAGGTCTCTTTCAAGATTCCAAGGCCTGACAAAAAGAGTAGATAATGTCCACGACGATACTGTTTTTGAGGCTATGCAGAGTCAGGAAGCAAACTTCTCCAAGGAGGGAAAAGTCTATCACCCACCAGGAGAATGAAGAAGAAACTCCGAATTAGTCCTATGCCATCCTCAGACGCTGCAGGAGAGATAAGGAAAAGTATGGCAAGGAAAAGGTCCTGGCCAAAGGCCACAGTGAAGTAATTCACAGCTTTGGATGCCACTGCAAGAAATGCCACCAATGTGGAAGAGGCAACTGAATCAAAGTGCTACCACCAGAGAGCATCTCACCAGGGAGCAGAGCAGAGCTTGGACCCAGGTTTTGGATGGCGTGAGTACTCCTGTCGGCCTTCTGCAGAAGGAAGCTTCACTCCTGCCACAAGCAGTGCCGTGTCGCTGGCAGAGCTGTGCCCTGCACCACACAGGACACATGCCACAGGCACGGGATCCACCGCCCAGCTTTGAGAAGCCTTCATCTGCACTGGGACCAGGCCATGAAATGTCCCCAAGACCAGGACTGCAAGCTGGAGTTTGTTCTTCAATTTCACAGCAAGCCAGTGCAAAGAGCAGAGGATATGCTCGATGCATTTTTCGTAGCTTGTGCTGGTAAAGAGATTCAGTGAGGCTCCTAAATTAGTACAAGCTCCTGAATCCTAAAGCAATGTAAGAGGGTCTTGTGAAGGAAGGCAGGAGGCAGATGGTTTCTGCAATGGAAAACAACAAATTATTTCTGTTAGAGAATTTTGGAGGTACTGAAGGATTATTTTTACTGGCAGTGAAGATACTAGCAGAGATGAATGTTATAAAACAGTAATTCAACAACTGTTTCTTCACAGCTACTTTCACTATGGGATGTATGTGATTTTAATTAATAAGCTTAATATCTTCAGCTGGATGGATTTCCGTTTTCCTCTGTGCTCTGTCTCCTCTTTATTTTTCCAAGCAACATCCTAAAATATAAAGCACTGACCAAAACATAATGGAATGGACTAAAATGTAAGAACCATAAAACTACTTGTTTACAATACAAGGCGTGGATTAATATTAGCAAGTGTTTGAAAGCACTGAAAGAACATTTGCAGTCTTCACCTTTATGATCAAGTAAATCCTTGCTTTATGCAGAAAATAATATTCAATAAAGAATACAATCTATATCTTGAATTACATAAAAATCACAACACTTCTTTTTTGTGCTCCTCTAAAATTCAATAAATAGTTCAATAGATCTTCTTTATTCCTTTCACCCTTCTGGGGAAAAAAATGATTCTCAGGCAAAGAGCTTGCAGGCCAAATTTCAATCTCAAAATAATCTTTATAGCTGAGTTATAAAAAAATGAGAATAAGGGTTTATGATGTGAAAGTTGATGCAGGCTTTACTGCTTTGGCATGATTGGTGAAGCTGTATTAAAAATAAATAAATTTAAAAAAACAAACCCCCAAAAACCCCAGCATGCTTTATCCTTTGACTAAATAATAGCAGCCCTATGCTATCATGACCATATAAATCTAAAGCTTTAAACTACTCCACCCTTATTATCTCTTCCAAAAGAAAAATGTTTATAATAATACCTATATTGACTTTTGCTTTTTGTTCAATAACAAGATTTACTGCCCCACTCTTCAGTCAATTGTAACCTCTTTGGGTCAACAAATCTCGATACTGATCTCAATAGAAGTCAATACCTGCTTATTACTTACCTCCGCATTTAGACGCCTATCACAAATTCTTATGGGCATCCCCTTGACAAGAAGAAATGAATACTTTCTGCTTAGTTTCTATACAAAATAGGCTTATGTGCTTTTCTCACCGTCTTTTTTAAAGCCATGAGATGATGCTGTATTTTAGGAAAACAATATTATACATTAATTTCTGGAACTAGGAATTAACGTTTAGCTTCTTTGTGTTGTTTCCTTAAAAATTCACAGACTGACCTTCTTGTAATTACTATTTTCTTCCCACATAAAATGTAAGTGAGCAATCTGATATTTTTTCTTCACTAACTGAGAAAGACAAATAACAGTAAAAATTAAAAAGCTACTTGTGAGTAATAATATGCAAACTAACATCCCAGAAGTTCAACAGAGAAACATAACAATCACTTTCTCAGTTGCATTTGTTTAAGGCTAGGATAAAAAATGAGCTTTGAAATTCACTATCACACCTGAATTTGTATATGAATCGATTCTGTATTTACATAGAGTCAATCTTCAGAAAATGTATTTGGTACCTAAAGTGCCAAACATTTGCCATGAGAGGCAAATCAAAATCACTAATCAAATCAGGAATTTGTGTCTTATATGTGAACAGATAAATGGGTAGTTATTTACCATACAATCCAAAAACTTGTATAAGAACCTTCTCATTTGGATAATGAGAAATGTATTTTAAAATACTATCTCACTGCACTTGTTTTTGAGAATTGGATTACTTACATCATGCATGTGTTCAGAATGGAAACTGAGAAAATACTGGTATAGAAGTCTGGAACTCATGTCAAGGAAATGTCAACAAGTTGCAGAAGTTGTGTTCAAAAGTGCCTTTAGAAGTGTCTGAAGTGCCTGCAAGGAGCATCACTGTACTGGTCTTTCTAGTTGTACATACAATAGAATATTAGTCATGTCAAACCCAGCAGACAACAGATGGAGCAATGACCCTTCCCTTGAATATTATTATTTTGTTATCTCATCTTAAAATCTTCATTTCAGAACATCACAAATGGCAATCAGAGTATTTGTACTTCCAGCAATGGAAGGATGGAAGGATAGAAGGAAAATAATGACCAGGGAAAGTCAATATTCAAGATGCAAACATAAGTCAATTTTTAACTTTTTCTTTTTAGCCTAGCCAGTGTAATTCATATAAAAAACATTTAAGGCTTGCTTAATATGGCACACTGCCAGCACTGTCCCATAACATCTGCATTATCTCAGGTAACACGAGGCTATGCAATCTGCTGTAACTGCTTTCTTGTGATTGTCACTTAAATCCCAGAGTCTGAAAAACTTCCATGAAGTGAAAATTTAGATGTGGCTTATGAGCAGGAGATCCCATCCTCAACTTATTGACATCAGGTTTGCATATAACACAAGGGATATAAGTAGTGTGATGCATGAGAATCGTGCCTGGACTTACCCAAGAAATGTATTTGACTAACAAGGTGAGCCAATTCAGAATTAAATAGTTTTTCAGGCTAAACAAAATCAATATTATTTATAGGATGTAATAGTAGGCCTAAAAAAACATTTCTAGCTTTTTAAAGATAGATAAAGCTATATTGATTTACAAAATGTAAGGCATTAGGCTGCTCAGATACACAGAACTGTCATGTAAAAGATCTAGGTCGAGAAACACCAATAAAACTCCCATTCATCTAATTAGTCGAAGAGCACAGTGAAAGGTCAAGCAAGGTTAAAGTGCTCTGTCTAACGTCTGATATTCCTGCAGGATGACAAGTTATTCTTTATGACCAGCTTTAATGATCGTCTCCAACGGCCCGGTGAAGGCTGTGTGCTCTCTGGGCAGAGGGGCTGCAGCAGGGAGGCACCGAGAGCCTCCCGCCTCCATCACACCCTGTCCCCAGCCACAGCTGACCTCTGCTGAGCCCAGCCTAGTAGCAGTGCCATCGTTTACACCCTCAGAGCAAGAGAACTGCATCTATAGGATGTTTTGATCCAAAACGCACACGTATACGTAACTAGAAGAGAAGGTAAGCCCAGCTTCCTCACTCCATGCCTTCTGTGAGGAGGAGGAGTGCAAGTGTGCTGCTGAAGGGCAGATGCAGTGGGGTGCAGCTAGGAGTTATAAATGAGAATTGATATGACCCAGAGCGGCTGCATGGAAGCTCTCCATGCATACCAAGCAATACAGCAAAGATCCATCATAATAGGGAGAAAATGCTAAAATTAAACTACAGTAACTTCCACAGAAAATAAGAATCCAGGATTTGGTTTCTGTTCTGGCAAATAGTGAGGATTATGTTTATTGAACCTGACTTTGATGCATTTCCTTCACAAGAACTGATAATAGTAAAACCATCTCCAAATTAAAACATTAGTGCATTTTTATGTGATACTGATTAAAGTGGGTGGACTTTGGATACTGCAATATGAAGGATGACAGTAATAGACATGGATGAAGTGCTGGTAAGAAACACAGCAGAAATCCAACAAAGATCAAGTGCCTGAGTAAGGGAAAGAGAAGGAAAGAGGAAGAGAGGAGAAAACATTTCTTGAGGGCAAAAATAAGGTTAAAGGATGATCATTAACGTGCTACTGACACTCAGCAGTTATAATGAGGACTGTGAAAATGAATACATAATAAAGAATAATAATAATAGTTGGGTAGCGCCAGCTAGATGGGAAGAGGCAGAGGACAATGGGAAGATCAGTCTAATAACAGAGACATTCTGCCCTGACTGTGGCAAAGGCCTTGGAAGATGCTCAGAGGGAGGAAATCTCCATGGAGATTCATGAAAGCCATTCCTTATTATTATTTTGCAGAGGTATTTCTACCCCTACACAAGCCCTGAGGCCCATTCAGATTTCCTGAAGGTCCTAGAAGATGAAACCTAACTTTGAAATGGGAAGAGCTGAAGCATAAGCAGTGCTTTACAATTTTCTGAAGGAGCAGGTGAGCTATCTACAGGTCTATCTGCGGCTGCTACCACAGCCTTGGTCCCAGCTGTGACAATCCACCTTTCCCAAGAATCTCCTGAGCATTTTAAAATATCATTTACGTTTCAACACATCACGTTTCAGATTTTGGTTTCAAAGAATCTTCATGTTAGATTATTGACCAAACATAGGATTATGGATCAGTGTCTTTATAGAGTAGAGAGGAACAGTGATGAGAGTAGGGGAAAATACTGAAATGTTTGGTTTTACTCCATACTAACATATGCACCTCTTATCTTCTGAAACAGAGTTCCATTTAGCAAGGATATGAACAATTGTCACTACTTGCAAAACCTGAGCTGCCTCATTCACTGTTTTCCATAGCTGCAGAATTAATAGGATTGATTACAGATAGCATTTGGTTGATTATATTTTAATTGAAAATGTTCAGATGTATTCAAGATTTTCTACTATCAGCCTTTCAGAAGACAAGAGATGACGAGGCTGACAGAGCTACCAATGTAGACAACTTTTAAGTGGGGTTTTGACTGTGAAGGTTATCATTACAGGAACCTCTCGAGTTCCAACATATATTTCACTGGCAGAAAGTAAAAAGTACTATTGTGTTATGTATTCTGTTCAAGTTTCTCACTTGGAAATAGTTATGATTGTCATCCTTGGCCAGGTTTAAATTGACCTTTTTATCACAACATTCCTGGCATGGTAGTGCAAGTTACTTGCTTGTGAGTAGCTATCAGCTGGCAAAAATTTAAAAGGAGGTTGGTTGATTAAAATTATATGCCAAGAGCTGTACAGAGACAACAAAATAACCAAAAGCAGCCAAAGGCAGCAAAGAGTCTTTACCAAAAAAAAAATCTTTTCAGAGAAAGGAAACTTATACATGCAAAAGAGTCATTTAATATTTGATCATCAAAAAGCTAATAATTAAAACTAGGAAGGTTAGGTTGGTCAAGTTTTACAGCTGACTGCACTCCCTGTGCATGCTCAAATCAACACTTACAAGATTAATTTATAAACTCTTCAAATTCTGAATCTCCAAGGTTTATACTCTCTGTGCGTTGCTTGCATAATGCAGTTTTATACTACTAAAGCACTACCTATAAAGGGATTATTTTCATATTCAGCACATTAAAGATACAGCACAATTCATAGATATCGTACTGTGTTTATGCCTGAGATAGCAGGTAAAGTGTCTCTCGTTCTGATTATCCGTGAAGCAAGCGTAGGAACGTGGATGTTTTGGGAGAGAGTACACCCTTAGTGAAATTAATTCCCCAATGGTTTTATTAAAGTCTGCAAATTGCATTATTTTCCCATCATATTTGAAATATTGCACTTCCTTAATGCTTGCTCTAACCCATGGCATGCCATCTTCCCTGGGGTGTCTAGACATGGTGTCTTAGATTTATGTGTATGATCTCAGTGTGTTACAACATCACTCCTGACTAATGCATTATTACAATACTTACATATATTCCCAAGTGTCACTGTATTGATTAGAAAATCACCAATCTGCATATGCACACCATCTGTGCTTCAGAGAAGCAAAACATGCAGGATAACATTTGCCTTACTCAAAGGGAAATTCAGATACTACTAAAAGAACAAAGGGGAACCCTTTTTTATGTTTTGTTTTGTAAAATAACAAAGAAAATGAATACTGTTTCTGCAAAACAACAGTCCATGCCTCCGACAGTTTAAAACAGAAGCTTTTTCCTCTCTACACAGCAAGGAGATTTACCCTCAGTTATAACATGCAAACAATCTGCCTTTTTAGAGATACCAAATAATATGGGATGGAAGCATACTGCTGCAATGAATTTTAAAAATCTCAGCTCAGATGCAAGAATAGGGGACTTTTCAGCAGAAGGGGCTGTAGTCAGCAGCGAGTCCTTTCTCAGCTGAATGCTGCAAGAGTGGTTGTAAAAGATGAATGAGGCCCTTGCTTACTGGGGTGAAATGCTTTTAAAGGACAAGAATCTGCTTATCTTTGATTGATTGCTCGGTCTGATACTTTCCTTTATAAAGTTTATTGACTACAAGCCCATAAATCAAAGAAAAACAAATCACAGGTTCAATTTTGGGGGCATTGACATCCTGCCATCTTGCAGCAATATCTTAGAAGTCACAGGGCAGGGAAGAGGAGAGATGTGGGGGACTCACAGAGACAAAAGCATCTATTTCAGGTAAACCAGTACTTCAAATGTTTGTAAATGATTATTCATTTGTGCCCTATAACATTTTTAAGTTCAGAGAAAAATGCAGACAACCAAGCTACCCAGATTATTTTTTTAAAGTCTTTAAATGCAGCATTCACAATCAACAGACATACTTTTATTGTGTTTTTGTGTGTCTCTCTGGTTCTACGAGACTGTAGCCACATTCCCACACATCCCTCACCCTCTGTAAGGATGTTACATTTGCAATTTCAACTATCAAAGCAAGAATGAGATTTCTTTCAGGGGGATTTGAGGGTTTAGGAAGCTCAACATTTCTATACCGAAACACCCCATACAGCTGCACGTAAGGAAGGCACTAGCCATAGATCTTGCTCATATGGGGCATACGGGATAATGTGACAGCACGATAATACAGATTAATTTGTGCTGTTGACCTTGACACACTGTTCTATTGTGTCTTCTTTTAAAGTCAGCACTCGGGTCACTAGAACATCTGGTGTTTAACAAAAAAATCCCATTCTGAACTGCTAAATGTGTTGAAACAAATGGTACTGTACTATCATTACACAGTGCAACCTCTCTGCTAGGGGTCTAATTTCAAGGCTACCCTGACTGAACTACATTATTATTAGTGGTTTTATAATTCACGTCTTGCCACAGTACACAAAACACCTAATTATCAAAAGTAGCCTTTTAAAAGCTGGATTGTGTTCCATGTAGCCGGGACTGACTGTCGCTTTCTTTTAATTTTATCTTTGGAGACATCTGGAAGGGCTGAGCCTGCACACTGCTGAACCTCCTGGCCTCGACCCAGCAGAGCACTTTAGCATGCACATGTATTTATCCACATAAGTAGTCCCCTATATTCTAGCAGGATATGCTTTTAAGTTATGTGCACACTAGACTACCCCACTGAATGTATCGACTGGGTTCACCACATCGACTAGAAATTGCCCAGCACTCAGAATTGAGTCCTCCACATCTTACACCCTGTTATTTTCAGCTTGTGCTCAAATCTAACCTAGTCCTCAGCGCTGGGAAAAGGTGATGCAGCTATTTAGAACAAGACTGAAGATCGGGGAGACGATCGGTAGCAAAGAGTAAGCAGCTTTGTTTCATAGGTGTTTAATATGAAAAAGAAAAAGCAAAGGGTGATGACTCTGCTGCTCTAGAAGATATCACAGCACCTTACCACCCCTCTGACACCACTGCCATCCCTACACCTCTCTCCCTCTCCACCCACTCTGCTTCCCAGCAGAGATTCTCCATGCAACCAAACACAAAGGTTGTCTCTGTAGGATCCTAGGGAATCTCCCAAAGCTTCCGTGGAAAGGACTAACGGTTTCCAGTGGTCTGATGACCTTTAGCTGACCTGAAGCAGATTGCAAGGTCTATTAGCATTTCAGCTTTCCCAATTAGTAGAAAGGCACGCCACTCAAGCTGGGCTTTTCCAACAGCATTGTGTTTGTGCCATGAGTCACGGTGGGCTGATTCTCCCCTCCTTCACAAATCTGTCAGTCATTTATACCCCAGCAAAGCAAGTATGAAATGTTACTACTACGCTTTTTTTACCTGATTTACCCTCACTCTGCAAATGCAGGCAGAAAGAAATTAGCCCTGAGAAATACACCAGTGGCTGAGTCCTACATATCTGACATATCAACTTTTTTTTTATAAGGTGGGAAAAATCCTCACGATCAAGAGCATGGAAAATTACTATCATAGAATCATAGAATGGTTAGAGTTGGAAGGGACCTTAAAGATCACCTAGTTCCAACCCCCCTGCCATGGACAGGGACACCTCCCACTAGAGCAGGTTGCTCAAAGCCCCATCCAGCCTGTCCTTAGCAATTCCAGGGATGGGGCATCCACAGCTTCTCTGGGCAACCTGCATACTATAGGCATCTATGAACTTAAATATGTGAGTCTCAATGCCTAAGAAGGGACCACTACCTCCAGCTGCTGAGAAAAGTGAACACTGCTAAGGTGAGCACGCGGATGTATTTACGAAGAGCAAGGGACGCCCATGCTGAGCCAAGCAAAGAAAGGGGTACAGGATGAGGTTTGAGGTTGTTCAGCACAGGAAAGAAACAGCCCAGAAAATGCCTTTGACTTACAGGAGGAGGAAGCTGTTATGCTGTTACTTGGGCCAAGGAGAAGTCATTCCCAGTTGTTTTAAATGTGATTTCTGCCACAATGTCCCAGGTGATCTCCACGAGAAGTTTGTATACGGTCACTAAAATGAAGAAAATAGAGAAAAAGTCGGAGACGTCTGAATGAGAAGACAGCATTGGGCAATCAGTCGCCACAGACCTAATCTCATTAACTCCTCCTAAGATTTCAGCCGTCAGTCTGTAGTTGACAGCTAGTGGAGAACTGAGTACAATGAGACATCTTTTAAACATTATTTCTTCAAGCCATCTTCCTGATCTTTTATACTTGTTTGTTCTGCAGTTTCTTAGAAGTTACAACTGCTGAAGGAAGTAGAGAAAATCCAGAAAAAAAAAAAAAGTAACCTGCTCTCCTATGCAGCTTCATGCCACTGGGTCAGTGATTAAGAAAGACAAGGTCCTACTGCAGGGAAGCTAAATGGAGTTCATTATGGACATGAAAGTTAGCAGGGCCAAAGAGGTGAGACTATAGGAAAGAGGATGAAATAAGAGCCTAACAAGTGTGGATTTTACTTCCTCAGTGCAATAAGGATAGCTTTTAACTACCAGCTACTCTAAAAAAATATGTATCTAGATAATAGTGCCTTGAAGATAGGTACTGTCCTCTATACTGTACTCTTTTGTACGTACTCAGGAAAATTAAAATAAAAATTTATGACAAAATCTGGTCCTGAGCTGCAACAAGCAATCTTTGCCTTCCAGACTGAAAATTTGTTTTTGCACTTATTCCTGAAAAAAATAGGAAAATGGAAAGATAGATGAATAGCATTTAAGTGGATTAGAATGATGTCATTAAACCTGGATGGAGACATCTATCTCCAAACCCCACAAAACTATGAATTTGTCACCAGTCGAAGTATACTAGGCAAGAAGAAAAAGGAATCAACAGACAATAATGTAAAGTTTCAGCAATTGTTAACATCAGAATTTTACTGAAACTATCAAGGACCCTACAGCCACTTTGTTCTCCAGGTTTTTGAAGGGCAGTTTGAAACAGGGCTCTGTGATTTAAAAATCTTAAGTATTTGGGTGAAAATCAGGTTTGCAATAGCAAAAAAAAAAACCAAAGCACTCCAAAATAATAGCAAAAAAACTACCACACTGGAACATAATGATAATTATATTGCTAAACCATGTAAGATCTTGAAAATATCATACTTTTAACTTTGCTCCCACTGTTACATGTTGTCAGACTTGAAGAGAAAATGAAGAACCTAATTTGTTATTTTGCTAACATAACAACAGTTATAAAAATAGATTAACTGTCAGTATCATGAATTAATATCACAGAAGTACGGAGGCTCAAATAACAGGCTTGGGCCATAAGCAAAGAAGCAAGAAGTAAAGAGCTAATGCTTTGACCTGGGAAAGGACAGAAACACCACTACTGTCGAAAAAGGCTTACATAAAGTGAAATTTGTGTTTAATAATTCCATGTGCTCTTAAAATCTATATTTTGTTTTGTTCTACATACAGAGGCAGCTTTTCATGTTAAAGCATAATGCACTGGATACAAAAGCTGATGGTCAAGTTAAAAATCTGCAGCTTTTAGTTCATGCTTTCAATCTTTTTTTCTGCACCCCCCTCCCCCCTTTTTTTTTTAAAGAACCTCTGAACGTCTAAATGATAACATGTTTCAAGTAGCTGCTCCTTCCCTGGAGTTGAACAAAATTGAAAAGATCAAAGTTAGTGCAATCTTGTTCAAAGGTGAAGAGGTGAAATCTTATGTGTGCTGGAGGATCAGAGCAAATAGAAATGTACAATGCTTAGTGTGCGACACCTGAAGCCCACTTTCATCAAGGTACCTCATTTTCATCTGAATTCAGAATGTATCTCATTTTATGGTAAAATAAGGAACAGCACAGGATTAGCTTGGTTGCAAAGAAAAGAAACCCTTGCCCAACACTGAAAAGTAAACATCAGTAAAAGGTGAAAATGGTCAATTTTTTTTTTAGAATGACTAAATTCACCACATTAAATTGTATATTTCTTCTTTAAGTAGCATTTATATAATTGAGTAAGATGAAGCCATTACACCCACGATGTTTCAAGTATCATAATGCTGTTGATAGTTGAAGAGTTTCCTGAAAAAAACACTGTGTTTTGAAGGGGGCTGCAGAGAGGGACATCTAAAAAGGGTATGTTTTTTTCCATAAAATCTTCATGTGACTGATGTGCCCTGACATAATGTATCACGATGAAATACAGCTGCCAAAAAAGAACTTCAAATGATGCCCTTTTTCTGGAGAAAAAAAAATGTGATAAGAAAATAGGTACCTTTTCAGCAAAAGCTTTTAAAGCTTTAAAAGCACGGCAACCAGTAAAAAGGTTCTCAGGTAAAGGCTTCTTTACTCAATTTTGTCTAAGTACCTAGAAGCTAAATGGGGGGAAAAGGGTATGGAAAATAATGCTCCAGCCTCTGTGAGAACTGGAGACATCCTGAACACAAGACACCATGGCACAGAAAGACAAGAGGGTTTTAAAGTCCTCATCCTGCCATGGCATTTTCAAACACATGGGAAGATCCAGTTCTAAATTATTGGGAATTGTGCTACATTAATAATTCTGATCTGAGAATGTTTTAGCATAAAACTGGACTTTAACAGGGCAAAGTGATCACAAACATGCAAACATTCAGAAGCTGAATAGAGATCTACACTTCAATATTCCCTTTTTGAATATGTAGAGCTTTTTTTACATATTTACCTGTCCTGGGGCTGTTGCTGTAGGGCTCTCAAATTCCAACTTGTACTTCGCTGTCCAAAAGCAGTAAGTATTATTGTATACATTGTTTATTCTTGACCTAAAAAGCAGGTCTGCTCGGGAATACTGTAAGAGTGTTTTCTATACAGCCCTCATAGAAGCAATCCCACACAGCCACCTGCCCTTTTCTTGAGGATTCACCCAGCATATCCACACCCAAATTCCCACGGTTGTCTTCTTTCAACCCTGACAGAAAATCTGCTAAAAACAGTGTTAAGTCTTCCAGAGGTAGCTCTAGATAACAAACTGCTGGAAGTAGAGCATGTGGAGATGCTGGGGTCTGCAAGCTGGTGGTGAACTGGGGTTCAGGGAAAGGGCAGAGATAAATGTAACATGACATCCAAAGAACAGACATCCAAAGATTAAGAAAGCACATGCAGAAAGTGGCTATATCCAGTATAATACATGTGCACAATTAGACTGGGTGCAACTGAATCTTTCATCAAACTACTACCTTATACTAGGTCAGAATTTATGTTGTTCAAACGTCAATACTGTTTGGATTGTCAATTGGCACATATTTCTACTAGTTTTCCTCTTTGCTACATAAAACTCCACCTCCATTTATCACAAAGTATGATCCAAAATGCACATAAGCAGGTCCCAAAGGGGTGACACAATCTGCTGGTTCACACGTGTTAGCACGGGGCTTAGAGTAGAGAAATCAAGCTCTCATCCTTTCCTCTTTATCTGCATTTCAGGTCACCATTTCTTATTTTATCCTTGGGGTACAAAAAGAACTGATCTATTGTCCTACATCCACGGCCAGCCTCCTGCGATTAATCTGAGCAGATAACCGTGAAAGTGCTGTAGGTAGGCTAAATCTCTCCATGGCAGGGAATCTCTATATGTTTCATAAGAAATGTTACTTTGACATAAAATATCTAGGGATCAGTCACGTTGTGCAGCGCGGAGCGGCTGACTTGCAAACAGAGGTTGTGCCGACTGTGTGTCTTCACGCTTGAGTTTGCTCTTGCGTTTTGGTGGCATGTAGACAGTCGTATTTGTTGCTTTGAAAGGGGTGACCTGCTGGGATTTCAGGCTTCTTCTGATGCTCCCAGCAAACCTCCTAAGCTCCCTCACACACCGGTGTTTTACATAAATCATGAACGATGTGTTGTAAGCATAAAGACAGCTTTTAGTCACTGAAGACAACAGCAACAGCGCTGTTTTGAGGCATGGCTTCTCGTTCCTAGGTGACTGTCCCATGCGTCTGCACAACAGCAAACATGTAGCCAGTCACTGTTCGGGTGTATTCGTGACAAAAGTCTCACAAGGTGGGATAATAGGTCAGATGTACCACACTGTTATTGTTCCTTTCTGCATTTGTATTTGTTATGGACTATAAACCCCGATGATCCCGTGAAGGGCTGTGACCATGAATCCCAATTGGCTGAGCAGTGCTATTTCATGGTGGGGCGAGTCCGGCGGTAACGAATTCAGTCAACATAATGATCTGAGTTTCACTGCACTGCTCTGCTGCCTGGGAACCTGCAGAAGATGAGTGACTGTGTCATGATCATAAATTCAGACACATACAATGCTGAAATTTCTTACAGAGCTTTAAGTCCCTTTGAAACGGCAGACTAATAAATATGGTGATCATATTTGCTATTTGGCAAAAATATTAATTAATCAGGAAAAGTTAATAAAAATATATTCCTCAAAATTATGCAACAGACATTTTTTTTTTCTTATTCATGGCTATATGAATGCAAAATGCCATGGATTCTTCATCTTTAATACCTAAGGGATTTATAAGCATATTGCATCCATAAAACTTGGTTCATCAGTACAGTACACAGCCCAGATATGCATATTTAATTACTCTGAAAGTAATTTACTTGTACAGATGCTGGAATTAGAAGGTCTTACTTCAACTTAAATTACTTCTATTTGAAAAATAATGTTTTTTTGCTATGAATCCTGAGTGAAGGATTCACTCTTACTACAGGTGAATAACACTTGACAATTGTGATCAATCTGTGACTAATGTAATTATTCCTCGATAAACATTTTGTTTCCAATTTTACAAACCAGAGCATCCTCTTTGCAGGAAGTTGATCTAGTAGCATTTCATATACAAACCTGATCACTGTGAGAGACCCCAACATGCTTTTGGGGTAAGTGAATAAAAAGCCACAGAAGATTTTGTTGAACATCCCTGAGACTTCCCAAGGCAAAGAGGCACTGCGAACGGGCGCATTTCAGGAAAATACCTGCCAGGCATAAGATTTCACTGACTCTGTGTGCATATGGGGAGTTTGGGACAAGCTTTAATGGGAAAGAATTCAAAATATCCTGTCCTGGCCGCAGGCAGCGAGTTCTCCCAGCAGCGCAGGCAGCAGGGCTGTGCTGGATGCCCACTCCACCACCGTCCCCCGGCTCGCACCGCTCAAATAACAGCAATTTCCAGGAGCGAGCGTGCAGCAGAGGCAGCAAAAGCTGGCAGCGTGTTGCATTAGCTCTTACACCCTTCCTGGGAAAACACAACTGCTTCTTCAAGCGAGATTGTTTTCTTGTACAGCACCATAAAAGGTCTACGTGTGTTTGTTAGACTTTCTTCAGCGAACATCCGTCTTTATTAAAGCGCTGGCTATCTCGGAGGTGGCTGCCGTGGTTGCTATGGTAAGCATTCATGTTTTATTGAAGACTAAATGGCCGCGACCCCCATAAAGGGTTCCCAAGTGGCCCTAAAATGTGCTCTGCCTTCCCCTTCCTCCACGTCTCTCCCCAGGACAAAACAATTTTTTGACAGTTGATCTGATTTTGGGGGCCTACCTGGAATACGGGGGTTTGTCTCTTCTATTTAAATAATTTTAACCTTGTAGCCTGGATTTAATACAAAAACCAAACCTCTGTGGACCTGATTCAGAGAGCTGGAAAGCACCTGAAACTCCCAGAGAGTTCTGGTGGAGATGGAGATGTTGGGGGACCTGCACCTCTGAGCAATTGTAAGACCACTAGTGGCACACACCTCTGTCAAACCAAAGTTGAGGGTGGGGGTGGAATATCTTATTACACTGGCTGGACCTGCAATGAAGGACCAATGAAGGACTGGATGGAACACGTATAAAGGTCTGTACAGCCCAAGCTGGGTCGCACAACTTGGAGTGCAGACATTTCACCCAGACAGGACAACCTGGGTGACAGAGTAGAGAAAAGGGACAGGACACATCACCACATTTGTAAATCTGTTCCTGCTATAGCAAAGGAGCCACGATGCTCTGGCTGCAGTTGGAATTTGATTTCCAGACTGCTTTTCTTTTTAATCATCCTAATTAAGAGAAAACTTTACCTCCTTTGGCTTTCATGCATTTACACTTACACAGAATTTCCAATAGTATCTTTTCCAGGAAATTTAAGCACTTTCACTGAGTTTAAAAAGGATCAAGGTCCCTTCTTTTCAATTTTGAATATTTCTCTTTTTTTTTGGCAAACTGTCTGTAGTTGCCACATCTCCAAGTAGCTACACAACATTCTTCTTATCATACCTCCCTCTTTGGTCTCCAGCCAAGCAAGTTGCTCAGAGCTGTGCCCACAGCCACCCCTTTTATGGCTCTGCAAGGGTCAATTGTAGCATGTTGGTGCTCCTGAGCTCCTCATGCTTAATGCTTCAGCAATGTTTTTCCCCAGGGCATTTCCCACCAAGTGTTCGCTCTCCAAGGGAACGGGATCCCTGATTTCCTCATCCCTCAGAGCAAGGATGACCCCACAAACTCCCCAACAGCGCTCCTGTTCCCACTGTTCCAACCGCACTGGCATGCTGGCTTTAACCCTCCAAAGACCCGCAACAGCCATACATAAAAGAGGCTCAGCATAGGATCAAAATATGCCTGGTTAGCAGGCTGCTGGCTGGGGTCCATCACAACTGGTGGGGAACGAGTAGGGGAGGGCGAGTGTGGCACATGTCTGCAGTGGCATGATGGTTGGGGAGACAGAGGGATGAAAGTAACAGCCCTGTAGAAAAATGGGGATGAGAGAAGGTCAGTAGGTCAGTCAGGAATCCGAAGAAGAGAGGGAGTACATAGATGCAAATTGTGGGACTGCTGTAGCTGAGCTGCTCTTGATTTCAAAAATTCCCTTTTTAAGCATGCCATTTTAAAGCATGGAAATTCAAGGCTACAATTTCTGTTTTGCAAAGCAGAGTCAAAAGCCCAAAACAGAAGCAGCATCTTAACAGTTCTGTCCCTTATTTTCATACAAATTCACACACACACATTCATACGTGTATCGTCAGCCTTAAACACAAGATCCATAGTAAGTTTTTAAACAAAATAATCCTTTAGACACTGATAAATCAAGCAACAATGACACAGGGATATCATAGCATCACTAAAAATGTCACCACAGTTAACAAGCCCGCTTGCTTCAACAAAAAATATTGGTGAATAATCATCCATCAGTTAGCACGTTAAAAAAAGCCATGCCTGGTGTTCCTTGCCTAAAAAACGATGGGATTGGAAACATTGTTTTCTTGCCAGGTTATTTTCATTTTTGGAAGAGAAACAACCAAGGGAAACATGGAGAGAAGAATAAATAACAAGAAGCAGTATGAGGGGAAAAAATCCTTCATAATTATGCTGTTGCCTCTGCCTTTCTCACTCTCAGATTCCTCTCCTGTACCATACTGTGCCAAACCACTCACACGCAGGGCATCCTCCAGATGAATCAGCACAGTGGCACGCGGACTCGAACGTACATCAGAGGCACAGAGGAGGTGTTTGATATTGTATTTATGAACAAATCAGAGACAAGAGCTTGGTGGGGGTTTTTTTGGAGGAGGAGGAGGAGTAAGGGAAATAAGACCGTATGTCAGCTTGGGAGAAAAAACACTTCATCATCTTTTTAAAATTTATATTAACCACAGACTCTGTTCAGCCTCATCCTCTAAGTGATAAATTAAACTGGCACACATGCAATCTGTAGATTTTTTTCTTTATCTGTCACTCAGATAATACAATATGAAAAACTGCCTGTACTAATCAGGACTCTCACGTCCATCGTAATGCTACACACCAGGGAGAGGGGCCACACTGACTGCAGCACACGGAGGTAGCCCCAGGTGCCACCTGGCAAGCGTGGCCAAACACCACAATCCCAGCCAAGCACACACACAGCTTCTCCTTAACATAAGAAAGACCCCATTTGGGGCAATTTCACCATAGCAACTCCTTATTTCACTTTGCTAAAGCAAAACAGACTGATAATACCCACAGGCCATCAGGTGCGACTACAAGCCACCACGACCTCCTCCAAGCCAGGTGACTTCTCTGAAACAGGCCACTAAAGACTTCACTTTTTTCAAAACTAGAGCTGATGAAACATAAGACCTTTTTTTTCAAAACTAAGTCGATAAAACCCTCTTAATAGTTCTTAAGTTTTTCCATAAATAGACATCCACTCAACAGGCAGTGACAGTGAAAAGACCTCTAGAAAGCCTGGAAAAAGACAGAGAAGACTAAGAGCTGAAATGCTCCAGTTCTAGTCCTGAGAAGATATTTAATCTACTGCGCGTTCAGCTCCTTCTCACAGAAGTTATCAGCATAAATGTATCCTACCTGTGAGAAGAGGATGTCATGGCAGAAACCCAACCATGCCCCACATCTTTTAAAAAGCAGAAGTAATACCCATTCATAGGCAGGGCTTGCTTCTGACTGCAAAGTCTCTCCTGTAAACCTTTTCTTTTCTTCTTCTTCTTTTCTTTTTTTCCTCTCTAAAACAGGAAAACCAGATATGGCAACCATTAATCAAGCAAGCAATAAACTTAATGTCAGCTGAGGGGGAAGACAAAAGCTGAGGAGAGGCAGAGAGGACACTATAGCACATCTCCTGAGGAACAAATGATACTGCTTCTGAAACTAAGCTGTAGATCATACAAGACCATCACAAAGAATGAAAATTGTTATGTTTCAAATGTTTCATTGGTAAAACAGTTTAGCCAACAGGTCATCAGGCACACTAATATTAATATTTGCATATATACCATTGTGTATATCAGTGACAGAAGTTTTTTATGCTAAGACGGGTGTGTGGGGGGGATGGAATGACTATTTCCAGCCTGCTCTTTGTAGCTCTTGTTTCCCAGCCTACACCTTTGCAGCAACTGAGAAGTTGAAAACAAAACCAGAGCCTCCTGCTAAGGTAAAAAGTATCTGAAACGCACACACTTCCCTATGCTGGACTTTGAAGAACATGGCTAATGTGCTAACGTGACGCTAACAAGACACTTTCATCACACAGAAAAATCTCCCAGTGCTCCAAATGGACATTTTCCCTGTTAAGGTTGGCCAAAGGCTTCAGAGGTTGGCTGTGCCGTTTCAGATGGTTTAAGGCCTAGATGGACTTAAACGTGGACAATGAAACAGAACTGACTGATCTCCAGCATCAGATCCCTAGCTGTGTGGGACAACCACTTTAGAAAGCCATAGAGTTTTGGTAGGTAATCCACCAGTCTCAAAAGGAATCTTTTCT